TACTAATAACAGCCTAGATATGTTATGTAGCCTAATTTGCGCGCAACGGGGAGTCGCTCTCATAACGCGGGGTATTTAAATCGCTTTTGAATGCGCATGCACGTTTTACTTTCGGTTTCGATTTAACAATCGCTCGAACTCTCGGCGGTGCTGAGCGTGCATTCTACAATACAAGACATTAATTTTGTCAGAAGCTCTGTAACAAATCCTCCTTTGATGTTTCTTATGGGCCAATGAGGGTCTTTTTTGTTCGCGCTGAAGACAATTTAAAATAATGAAAAATAGTCCGGCCAATCCGAGGCCCCTACACACGTTGGGGCCCCTAGGCTGCAGCCTAGGCAAGCCTGTGCGTTAATCCGTGCCCGGAAATGGCCTCACAGCTTCTTGTAAAATCGGATGGAATAAAGCATAGTTATTATCTTCACCACAGAAAAAGTCAGAATCTGATGTTAGACAAAGGATCACTGCAAAATGCAATCAATTTCAATTTAAAGTTTATTCCCCAAAAGCTGTTTTTCAGAAATATCTTCAAAATATCTTCTTTTGTGGATAAGGAATTCACATTACCTGTCATTCTACTGTTTAAGTTCCAGATATTTAGATGGACACATAATCTAAGCATGTTGTTTTTCATGCTAAACATGTTTAATATTTTGTATTTATTTGTTGTTTTTTCATTAGGCTACATCCTATAATTATCACGTGTTTTCATTTATCTTAATTTCCATATTTACATGCGGCAACGTTGTGTGATTTTCAATGAAATATTTGACTAATAAATTTGCTCGGTTTTCTCCTCAAATCCTCACTCACAAAGACTGTTGATGCTGATCAAATACCATTTGAGTATATAATTTTAAGCGTTTTTCATTTATTTGTGCAGATCGGCTTTTTTTAAAAGGAAAACAACAGCGCACGCACAAAGTATTTTCCCCGTATTATTTCCCTCCTCTCGTCGCTTCACACTCCAGTCCAGCGGGTGGCGCTAAAACGCATACGTTTGTTTGTCAAACACCATTAAACCCCAGAGGAAAAAGATTAGTTTTACCGCGCTCTGTTGTTTTGCCATGATGCTGATTTAATATAGACTGTTAGAAATGTTTCTGTAAATAGAAAAAGTACAGTTTTTGAATTAGGTCAGTAAATACCTGTAATATTCTCATCCTCATAGTCGTGACTAAGTTTTGAAGCAAGCAAGAATATCTGGAGGAGTATCATCTGAACTGAGATCTGCTGCTGTGAAGATGGTGTTTGTTAAAGAGGAGAGTGAAGAGAACACGAGTGAACCAGAAACCTGGAGAATAAAACACGAGGAACAAGGAGGTTGGTGTTTATTCTTCATTTATCTTTAATGACTCGTTGTGTTACATTACACTTACAAAGCTTTAGAGGGTGTCCACAGATCCTTAATGTAAAAATAAGACCTTAACTATGGAGCAAGATTGATCTCAATAATAATTCATGCAAAAGACATGATGCACACACTGCATATCCCAATTCACATTCATGAAACCGGAGTATGTGCACGAAAAAAAATATATATTCACAAAAACCAATTCACGTACACAAAATAAGAATATATATTCATAAAATACGTTTCACAAACGCAAAACACAGTTCACAGATGTACAGCTGTGTACAAAAATTCAGAATGTTTAGCAGCTGCTGTTTAGTCCAGAATGTGTTATGATTAATTATTTATCGATTATGAATCATTCACATGGATACTATAACATATTTAGATATTCGATTAATAAACTCAGTGTAAAGCATAAAATAAGGTTTTGACTAATGGGACATGCAAATTAAAAGAAGATTATGAAAATATAGTTTTTTGGGTATTTTTCAATCAGCCTCGTGTGTTTTTGTTTGAGGACATGAAAGAGCTGTCACAGCAGAGCTTGTCTTGTGTGTCAAGTCCTGCGATGGCACGCATTCAAATGATGACGATGTATTAATAGCATGCACACAATGAAGACCATCATGTACATTTAAGTTTGTTTATGCTGTAGATACTATTTATTTCAGAATTGTGAGGCTGATGATGTACAAATTGCTGAGACAACCCCTGACCCTACCATTCCTACTTCATCCCCTTACAACAAGTAATTATGTAATGTGAATCTAGAAGTTTCATTTGGAACTATAACTCTTTCAAAACAGTCATGTTGCAACCCATCCATTTTGTCAGTTTTAACAGATATATTTTTTTAGTCATGCATTTTTACTACATTCAGGGGCGGATTAAGGTGGTCAGGGGCCCCTAGGCTGCTCTTTGTGTGAGCCGTCCACCCCCCTAATCATTATGCTTTACTGGAGAAATGTATTTAGAATCAGAATCAGAATGAGCTTTATTGCCAGGTATGTTTACACATACGAGGAATTTGTTTTAGTGACAGAAGCTCCACAGTGCAACAGAATGACAGTGACAAGACAGGACATAGATAATAATATACAAAATAGCAAAAACACAATATATAATATAGACAATATAGACAATTTTGTATGTAAATGTATTGTTTGTATGGATGTATTGATTTCTTTTTTAGGTGAAGGTGGTCTCTCCTCTCTCATTAGGTCATAGATCTCTCTTATCATTACTCTGCCCTCTCCCCTCATTGTGAATAACAGTTGAGTATAAAAGCTTTGGTGCACCTCCTCACTGGACCTGGCAACGCTCCTGAAGTCCAGAGCTCATAGTACAGGTATGATATGTGCAAATTTGAAATGTAAAAAAGTATGTGTGTTAAATAAATGTATAGTAGTGTTGTGTGTGTTCCACGTTTATTGTCAAGTGTTCATGAGATGGATTGCCTGAGGGAAAAAACTGTTCCTGTGTCTGGTCGTTCTGGTGCTCAGTGCTCTGTAGCGTCGACCAGATGGCAACAGTTCAAAGATTGTAGTGCCATATAAACTGGCAAAGTATTAAGTGCCATATAAACTGACATACGCACACACATTGAAACAGCCAATCCTACAGTGTTTCCTCTACATTCCCAGTGTCCCCACAGGATTTTGTGAGTCTGTGGTGGGTGCACATTGGTTCCTCTAGGGCAGTGGTTCCCAAACTGGGGTGCGCGAGAGAATGCTTTTGATGATCTGTGTGCATTTTCTGAAGGGGCAAGTGAAAGAGAATTTTACTTGCCCGACTGGACTACTAATCTAATCTAATTAAAACATAGAATTAGGGAAGCACCAACATTTCGGCGAGAATGATTCTGATTTTATTACACTTGGTGTAAACGGCAATTCATAATGGATAATCAATAGTAACAAGGTCGCGGCAGTTGAGGCTCACGTGAGACAATCTCATGGAGAAATCGAAACAAATGATGAACACAACTGCACACAGAAGAAACATACTACGGTAAAAAATGTAGTTTTTATATTTATTACATAAAGCCAAGCCTAATTAATTAACATGACAAGACTAAGAGAGTGCAGTTTTCCCCGAAAATCAGTGCGATTGTAAATTCAACATTGATTTTAAACAAGACTTCAAACGAGTACGTTTGGGAACCACTGCTCTAGGGGGTTCCAGGGGTATGCCCTCCGTAAGAAAATTGTTCATTTTGAATTTAAATGCATAAATCTGGTGCATTTTGAGAGCAGAATCAAGTGACTAGATCAATGAAGAAATATGTGATCTTGTAAACAATTTTGTGCTCTACTAGTAATTTATTTATTGGTTGCATAGATGTGAATGTGATGGTAGGGCACAATTTTCATTATATAAATTCTTATAAAAGCTACAAATGCTATTCTGGGAGTGATTTTCTCCTCGTATTTTGTTGTTTGATTATCATTAACGCCGACACTTAACTCAAGACATGAGACGAGACATGAGACTGGGATCACGAGAACCAGACGAGGCAAGATTTTTACACATTTAAAAAAAATTCTCAATGACCGAATACATGACTGGAAAAATAGTCTGCAGGTGCATTTTGAATTGTTTTAACTAATCATCTTGTAATAAATGTCATTTCATGATTATACCAGCATAAATTCCACAACTGTTACCAAGCAAATACAATTGCCGCTTCCCAACATCGTCTTGTGATGTAAAATTCTTTGCGATTACAATACACAACACAAGTTAAACATTAACAATGGTTAATTACAGTAATGTAGTTTTATTTTTTCCCAAATTCATTATTTTAATTTTTTTTTTTCAAATTCATTTTTTTCCGCTTGAATTTTTCTGGATTATGTTTTTTTTTTTTTTTTTCATTTTAATTTCTCTGGACTCCTTTTTAATGGTTAAATTAAATTTTATTAATCAAAAATCATGTATAACTGTTTTCAGACATACCCCCCAGCAAACCCCCCCCCCCACAAAGTCCCCCACAAATTTAATCAAATATTTTTGAGCACATATTTGAATTATTTACAGAACACATACATACTATGTTTTATGTTTTTATGACTGTGAAAATTGCTAATGTTTGCTTATTTAATTTAATTCTGTAACCTACTTGTTCTACAGATCTGTGTACTAGTGTAAAATGCTACTGTTTTTGATAGCGTTGATAACGTTTCTAATAGATAATATCATGATTTTTTTTTTGCATTTGCCGTACCGAATGTGCTATCCTGTCAGCAATAACCTGTCCATAAGCTTGATAACTGTGAGTTTAAGATGCAGTGTTGCCAGATATTGCTATAAAACAAGTAAAAACCGAAAATAAATAAAAAAGTGAACCGAAATTATTTTAAATATTTTGCAAATAAGATAAGGATATCGCTGATGCTAAACTGCAACTTCCTGCTTAATTAACTTTCTAAAGTATCAAATTAAGTGGAGTGAAAAGTCATTAAGTGCGTGTGAATTAGGTTTTATAAATGTGAATTGGGATACGCATTACCATTATTATTTATATAGGCCTATCGCTTTTTACAATGCAGATTGTGTCACAGCAGCTTTACAGTATTAAACGTGGAAATAGTGTGTCGTAATAGTGTGCCGTTCTCCTCTGGCCAGACGAAACCAGCAGTTTAATTCTAGGTTGCAACAAAGTCCGATTGTGCAGAGGACTCCTCTGGTTCCTGTGGTCTTGTCCCGGTGGCCGTCTAGGTGACGAGGTCTTCACTGGGGATCTGTCTCTGGGGCTCATGTAGTTGTCCTGATCTCCGCTGACATTCAGGGCTGTAGAGGTCCTCTCTAGGTGCTGATCCATCTTCTGGGCTGGATACGTACTGGATCCGGGTGACTGCAGTGACCATCTGATCTGGATACAGACTGGATCTGGTGGCTACGGTGACCTCGGAATAAGAAAGAAACAGACTAATATTAGCATAGATGCCATTCTTCTAACGATGTAGCAAGTACATCTGGTGTTACGGGAAGTGTTCCCGGTTCCGGTTGACCTAATTAATGCAGCCTAACAATCCTTCAACAGATTTGAATTGTAGAAGTGTCTTAGTGTGTTATGTGTAAGCCAGGTTAAAGAGATGGGTTTTTAATCTAGATTTAAACTGACAGAGTGTGTCTGCCTCCCGAACAGTGTTAGGTAGATTATTCCAGAGTTTGGGAGCTAAATAGGAAAAGGATCTGCCACCCGCAGTTGATTTTGATATTCTAGGTATTATCAAATGGCCAGAGTTTTGAGATCATAGCGGACGTGAAGGACTTTACATGTGTGCATCACATGTAATCATCAAAACATCAAATCCATTATTTATTATTATTGAGATCAATCTCGCCCCATACTTAATTGTCATTGAAAAGTATTAAAGGCACAATATGTAAGATTTTCGTAATACAATATTCAAAAACTACTTGCACAGTATGATATATTTCATGCAGTTGTGTATTTATGTTATCCCAAAAGTTCCCAAGGATTTGTAAATCCAGAGAAATTCCAATTTTAAATAATGACTCGTCCCTGGTCCCCTGGTCGTTGTCACCTCTCAATGATGTAATATCCGCACTATGTTTGTAGAAACTATGGCAACACACGGACACAAACTAAATAAAATGAGCAGATCTAAATTTAATGCTGCGGTCAACACTATTAATTTCATTTTCAATGTTGCGCCATGATTTTTTATGCATTTTTACAGTGTTGCGCATTATAACCAATCACACACGAGTATGTTGAGCTTATGAATGCAATGGCCAATCAAAGGCATTCAGATGAGTTTTTTGTTCACTGCACGCAGTGGCTGACTGAAATCAGCTCTCACGCAAATTCTCTCACCATAAACAACAAAGTGCGGATGTATGCAGGGCTCGCAAAATCGCTAGCCAGATTGCACCTTTCAAGTCAAAACGGGGTGGCGGTTTTCTTTATTTGAATGTATCAGACGGGAACCGACGGTCCTCAGAAACTTGTCGTTGGCATTTTAATTTCATTTGACCTATAATTCCTGATAAAGCAGCATTTATGAGCACGGAGCTGCTTTGTGTACAGCCGTTACCAGTGATACCGCAATATTTCAGCGTTCCTAAAGCGCCACCTCGTGGCAGAGAATAAATTTGCATTTCCAATAAGCCTTTCTTTGTGATTATGGTCAGGTCAATGCAAATATCAACTCATGTTTTTACGCAGCAAACACAGAGTTGTAAATGAGAACGAAGTTAATGTGCCTTCTAAAAATCTAAACAATTAAGACAGTAATATTTATACGTTTAAAATTGACAATTTATATGCTTGATTTATCTCTTTTCATAAAAGTGATCTAAAGGCTGAAATGCTGTTGTATAAGATTTTTGTTTTTGTGAAAACCTGTATCTGAACTGTAAATCATGTAATTTTATTGCTCAGTACTGTATGTTACCATAGACATTGTCCAACCCCACTCATACT